GGGAAGTGAAAGGGGCAGGAAGACCCCGGGGGCTTTATTCCCCCCGCAACCCAAAACAAAACACACAACACAAAGTTTTTTAAACAAAAATTTTAAACGTCTGCAGTTTTTTCGTGTCATTTTATGCTAGCGACAGTTCGGGGTTTCCTCCACCCTACTCAACCCCGTTGCCGGTGTTTCCTCCACCCTACATCAACTCCCGTTCCGGGGTTTTCCCCACCCTACTCAACTCCCAGTTGCCGGTTCCTCCCCTACATCATCCAGTTGCGGGTGTTTCCTCCACCTACATCACTCCCATTGCGGGTTTCTCCCCCACATCAACTCCAGTTTCCGGGTTTTCCCCCCCATCATCAACTCCATTGCCGGGTGTTTCCTCCACCTACATCAACTCCCCGTTGCCGGGTGTTCCTTCCACCTCATCAATCCCAGTTCCGGGTGTTCTCAACCCACATCAACTCCAGTTGCCGGTGTTTCCTCACCCTACATCAACCCAGTTCAGTGTTTCCTAACCTACATAATCCCAGTTGCCGGTTTCCTCCACCCTACAACAACTCCAGTTTCCGGGTTTCCTAACCCACATCAACTCCCAGTTGCCGGGTGTTTCCTCCACCCACATCAACCGTTGCCGGGTGTTCCCCACCTAACAACTCCCAGTTGCCGGTGTTTCCCCACCCTACATCACTCCAGTTGCCGGTGTTCCTCCCCCTAATCATCCAGTTGGGTTTTCCCCACCCATCACTCCAGTGCCGGGTGTTCCTCCACCCTACATCAACTCCAGTTGCCGGTGTTTCCTCAACCCACATCAACTCCTTGCCGGTGTTTCTCACCCTACTCAACTCCCAGTTGCGGTGTTTCCTCCCCCTACATCAACTCCAGTTGCGGGTGTTTCCTCCACTACATAAATCCCATGCCGGTGTTTCCCCACCCAATCACCCCATTGCCGGGTTTCTCCACCCTACATCACCCATTGCCGGTGTTTCTCCACCCTACACAACTCCCATTGCCGGTGTTTCCTCCACCCTACATAAACCCAGTGCCGGTGTTTCCTCACCCTACATCACTCCCATGCGGGTTTCCTCCACCCTACCAACCCCATTTGCCGGTGTTCCCCACCTATCTACCCAGTTGCCGGGTGTTTCCTCAACCCTACATCAACTCCCAGTTGCCGGGTGTTTCCTCAACCCTACATCAACTCCCAGTTGCCGGGTGTTTCCTCCACCTACATCAACTCCCAGTTGCCGGGTGTTTCCTCCAACCCTACAATCAACTCCCAGTTGCCGGGTGTTTCCTCCACCCTACATCAACTCCCAGTTGCCGGGTGTTTCCTCCACCCTACATCAACTCCCAGTTGCCGGGTGTTTCCTCCACCCTACATCAACTCCCAGTTGCCGGGTGTTTCCTCAACCCTACATCAACTCCCAGTTGCCGGGTGTTTCCTCAACCCTACATCAACTCCCAGTTGCCGGGTGTTTCCTCCACCCTACATCAACTCCCAGTTGCCGGGTGTTTCCTCCACCCTACATCAACTCCCAGTTGCCGGGTGTTTCCTCCACCCTACATCAACTCCCAGTTGCCGGGTGTTTCCCCAACCCTACATCAACTCCCAGTTGCCGGGTGTTTCCTCAACCCTACATCAACTCCCAGTTGCCGGGTGTTTCCTCAACCCTACATCAACTCCCAGTTGCGGGTGTTTCTCCACCCTACATCAACTCCCAGTTGCCGGGTCTTTCCTCCACCCTACATCAACTCCCAGTTGCCGGGTGTTTCCTCACCCTACATCAACTCCCAGTTGCCGGGTGTTTCTCCACCCTACATCAACTCCCAGTTGCCGGTGTTTCCTCCACCCTACATCAACTCCCAGTTGCCGGGTGTTTCCTCAACCCTACATCAACTCCCAGTCCGGGTGTTTCCTCCACCCTACATCAACTCCCAGTTGCCGGGTGTTTCCTCAACCCTACATCAACTCCCAGTTGCCGGGTGTTTCCTCCACCCTACATCAACTCCCAGTTGCCGGGCGTTTCCTCCACCCTACATCAACTCCCAGTTGCCGGGTGTTTCCTCAACCCTACATCAACTCCCAGTTGCCGGGTGTTTTCCTCACCCTACATCAACTCCCAGTTGCCGGGTGTTTCCTCAACCCTACATCAACTCCCAGTTGCCGGGTGTTTCCTCCACCCTACATCAACTCCCAGTTGCCGGGTGTTTCCTCAACCCTACATCAACTCCCAGTTGCCGAGTGTTTCCTCAGCCCTACATCAACTCCCAGTTGCCGGGTGTTTCCTCAACCCTACATCAACTCCCAGTTGCCGGGTGTTTCCTCCACCCTACATCAACTCCCAGTTGCCGGGTGTTTCCTCACCCACATCAACTCCCAGTTGCCGGTGTTTCCTCACCCTACATCAACTCCCAGTTGCCGGGTGTTTCCTAACCCTACATCAACTCCCAGTTTGCCGGGTGTTTCCTCACCCTACATCAACTCCCAGTTGCCGGGTGTTTCCTCAACCCTACATCAACTCCCAGTTGCCGGGTGTTTCCTCAACCCTACATCAACTCCCAGTTGCCGGGTGTTTCCTCAACCCTACATCAACTCCCAGTTGCCGGGTGTTTCCTCAACCCTACATCAACTCCCAGTTGCCGGGTGTTTCCTCCACCCTACAATCAACTCCCAGTTGCCGGGTGTTTCCTCCACCCTACATCAACTCTCCAGTTGCCGGGTGTTTTCCCCCACCCTACATCAACTCCCAGTTGCCGGGTGTTTCCTCCACCTATACATCAACTCCAGTTGCCGGGTGTTTCCTCCACCCTACAATCAACTCCAGTTGCCGGGTGTTTCCTCACACCCTACATCAACTCCCAGTTGCCGGGTGTTTCCTCCACCCTACAATCAACTCCCAGTTGCCGGGTTTTCCCACCCTACATCAACTCCCAGTTGCCGGGTGTTTTCCTCCACCCTACATCAACTCCCAGTTGCGGGTGTTTCCTCCACCCTACATCAACTCCCAGTTGCCGGGTGTTTCCTCCACCCTACATCAACTCCCAGTTGCCGGGTGTTTCCTCCACCCTACATCAACTCCAGTTTTGCGGGTGTTTCCTCACCCTACATCAACTCCCAGTTGCCGGGTGTTTCCCTCCACCCTACATCAACTCCCAGTTGCCGGGTGTTTTCCTCCACCCTACATCAACTCCCAGTTGCCGGGTGTTTCCTCCACCCTACATCAACTCCCAGTTGCCGGGTTTTCCTCAACCCTACATCAACTCCCAGTTGCGGTGTTTCTCAACCCTACATCAACTCCCAGTTTGCCGGGTGTTTCCTCAACCCTACTATCAACTCCCAGTTGCCGGTGTTTCCTCCACCCTACATCAACTCCCAGTTGCCGGGTGTTTCCTCTCACCCTACATCAACTCCCAGTTGCCGGGTGTTTCCTCCACCCTACATTCAACTCCCAGTTGGCCGGGTGTTTCCTCAACCCTACACATCAACTCCCAGTTGCCGGGTGTTTCCTCAACCCTACATCAACTCCCAGTTGCCGGTGTTTCCTCCACCCTACATCAACTCCCAGTTGCGGGTGTTTCCTCACCCTACATCAACTCCCAGTTGCCGGGTGTTTCCTCCACCCTACATCAACTCCCAGTTGCCGGGTGTTTCCTCCAAACTACCACTCAGGGGCTTCCAACAACATCCCAGTTTGCCGGGTGTTTTCCTACACCCATACATCAACTCCCAGTTTGCCGGGTGTTTCTCACCCTACATCAATCCCAGTTGGCGGGTGTTCTCCTCCACCCTAAAATCAACTCCCAGTTGCCGGGTGTTTTCCCCCACCCACAATCAACTCCAGTTGCCGGGTGTTTCCCCCTCATAAACTCCCGTTGCGGGTTTTCTCACTTCAACCAGTCTGTCCAACCCACCCCAGTGGGTGTTTCCTCAACCCTACCATCAACTCCCAGTTTCCCGGGGTTTTCCTCAACCCTACATCAACTCCCAGTTGCCGGGTGTTTCCTCCAAACCCCACATCAACTCCCAGTTGCCGGGTGTTTTCCTCAACCCTACATCAACTCCCAGTTGCCGGGTGTTTCCTCCCCCTACTCAACTCCCAGTTGCCCGGGGGTTTCCTCAACCCTACATCAACTCCCCGTTGCCGGGTGTTTCCTCAACCCCAAAATCAACTCCCAGTTGCCGGGTGTTTCCTCAACCCTACATCAACTCCCAGTTGCCGGGTGTTTCCTCAACCCTTACCCCTCCCCAACCCCCAACATCCCAGTTGCCCGGGTGTTTCCTCAACCCTACATCAACTCCCAGTTGCCGGGTGTTTCCTCAACCCTACATCAACTCCCAGTTGCCGGGTGTTTCCTCCACCCTACATCAACTCCCAGTTGCCGGTGTTTTTCCTCAAACCCCCATCAACTCCCCGTTGCCCGGGTGTTTCCTCCACCCTACATCAACTCCCAGGGTTTGCCGGGTGTTTCTCAAACCTACATCAACTCCCAGTGCCCGGGTTTCCTCAACCCTACATCAACTCCCAGTTGCCGGGTGTTTCCTCAACCCTACATCAACTCCAGCAAGCATGCTTGAGCGTGTTAGATAGGAGAGAATTAAGACAAATGGTTTTTAGAACTTGACGTGTTGTTGGAGTGTGAGCAGGGTAATATTTATGAAGGGAAAGATAAACTCCTAGGGGTCTTAAAGCACCTGGGAAGGGGATGAAACGTAATAGATTCGATCTCAGAAAGGGAAGGGTAGCTCCATTTCCTTGGATCAAGATCCTCTCGGAGGCGTGAAGGAGTGTTCCAAAATGGGGGGGGGGGGCGACTGTTTGCAACTGTAAGGTTAGGTAAGGTTCGTCAGGAAACAGGACAAGTGTTTCCTGACGGAGGTCTTAGTCAGGTGATGACCCGCCGTTGGAGCTTTTGGTCATCTGACCGAGGCCTTCCGCTGGCTTACTGATCCACCACTTTAAAAAATTTTAGTCATAGTTATATCCACTGTAATTGTAAGAACGTACCTGGCATTGTGTGGTCCAACGATGTGGTCGTGGGAAGAGGAGGCAGTGATGGCCTCGTCAGGGATGTCCCCAGACTCCATCCCCAGGTCCCAGTTACACTCCTCTGTGGACAACAACACATTCCACATTAATACAGTAGCAACACACTATCAGTTTTACTTACATACATGTAACTACACACACTGTACTTACATACTATAGTATAATCTTAAGATTATACTGTGGTAGATAAATCTTAAGTAACACTAGTTCCGTGTCTTACTAGTATAATAAATAATTTTGGAACTACTGTTATTAGAGTCTGAGTGTTGTTGCACTATAATCTACACCTACGTGTTGTCCTGCCTGTGATGGACCAAGCAACTACGATCATATTTGCTTGGACCTCCTCTTCTTTTCTAAAATATTGCAATCCCCTGATGTGTTGATTGCAACAAGAAAGGCCTAGAGTATCATTCAGTCCCCCCCCCCCTTCCCTGTGGTTGTTTTGCTTCTTGTATCGCTTGTTCGCGATATTTCCATAATATAATATATAACATATAATGTAATTTTATATTAATAAACATAATACTGGGCGGGACTCGAAGCGCGGTACTTGCATATATTATATACTCACTCGCAATCAGCTGGTCTGAGGAGACGAGATCCTCAATGGATGGCGGGGTTGTTTACCGTAATCAGCTGATCTAGAATTAATTTGAGCGAGTTCCAAATAGATTACGGAATGTTTTGCTTACGCAGTCAGCTGATGACGATTTAATACGCGAGTGTTCTAAACAGATTACTGAATAATGATGTTTGTCTAAAGAGCTCATTGAACTAGTTAATACTACCAAGAGATCTGATTGGATAATAAATTAGCCTTGTCCACGAGGGTATGTAGCAGCTAACGACATCAACGTACAAAAATAAAGAGCTTTAATATTTACACGAGGCACATAATCGGGAGAGATGATGTTGCAAAGTTAAACATTTGAATAATTTTACTCGATATCTGATAAATTAGACCCATTTTGCAAACTCTTGGGTATCTTTATTGAGGAAACGTTTCCCCCACACAGTGGCTTCATCAGTCCATACAAAGGAGAATCTTGAAGAACAGGAGGAGAATGAGGTAATCAGTCTCTCAACCTTGATTTCGATGTGGTCAGTCCATCAATCTTAAATATAATACGGCATATGAGCGGAGAAGGAGCTTATAAAACCGTTGGTAGGAGGGTGCAGCAGTCATAGGGGGTGTCACATTTGTTCAATGGGAAATGTGACACCACCTAGACTCCCTCCCACCTTCCTACCAACGGTTTATAACTCCTTCTCCGCACGTATGCCGTATTCTATTCAAGATTGATGAACTGACCACATCAACTCAAGGTTGAGGGACTGATTACCTCATTCTCCTCCTGTTCTTCAAGATTCTCCTTTGTTATGGACGATGAAGCCACTGTGTGGCGAAACGTTTCCTCAATAAAGATACCCAAGAGTTGCCTGTGTCTAATTTATCAACATGTCGGTTCTCTGAACCATTCATCTACAAACTCGAGGATCTGCACAGATATTTGTTCGGGATAAATTATATTATTCTGTTATTACTTTTTTACATGTTTTATTTTGTGCTTAAAATGTAGGCTTTTACCTAATATACTAAAAAACGTATTTTATTGATATTATTTGCAGGAATTATAATTTTTATATTGTGTCAGAGGAGTTTAGGTGCCGCACAGCTGTTTAGTGTCTCCTTCAAACACAATGTTAAACCCGTGTCTGACTCTCCTACTCTTTTCCATATTGAATTTAAGCCAATCTGGGGCGTGACCTCCTCACCTGTGTCCAGTACTGGTGTGTCTTTAATGTTTATGTTTTATACCTTTAGTCATCCTGCCTTGCTTTTTGAGGTAGCTGAAGGTTGTTTTAGATCCTGGGTGGACGTGTTGCTGTCACTGCTGTTATCAGGCTCTTTCTACACTTCTGAGCTTTTCTCAGTGTTGTATATACCACACATCTCTGGTGGCGAGTCAGAGCATGTACTAGTGTTAAAGTGGGTTTGCCTCACAAGGATTGTAGATAGGATGCTTAGTTTTTTTTTTTTTTTTGGATTCTTAAGGGATGATCCTGTCATGATACCTTGCTGTCCACAGTTTGGCTCTAGGTATTCTAGGTTGTAGGTTAATCTGTTACAGTCAGGGCACATGGTAAAATACACTGCCTAGCACTGTAATTGGGACGTTGCTCTGGTAGTGAGACTTCACATGTCCATTTTATGGTGTTTGACGTCGTTGTTTGCTATTTAACGTTGTTCTCGTTGATCAAGGTGTTGGCTACTGTTTCACAAACCTTGTATCTACGTATCCTGGATAATCTATTTAGCCCGTCGTGGTTATTTGGATTATCATTTATATATATACAAGTATCATGCATGCTCACCACAGTGTACAAAGTTAGTTCGGACATTAAACTGTAAATAAGTTCTCGATACCCTGGACTGGTTATGTACTATGTTATGTATTTAATTAACTTGTTGATATCTGGTATTTGTCCTCACAGGATACTTTTATGTCTTTATTGACAGTTATTAGAGAAGCTTAAGGTTCATAACTTGATAGTAAAATTTTCGGTGAGAAGCAGTTATGGGCAGTAATTTCGACATACATGCAGGTCTGTCAGTGTGAATCGGACCGTCGTATCCCTTGCAATTGCACATGCATAAACTATGCAATAGGATCTAGTCTGGAATCGGGTGGCGGGGGCGCTGACCCCCGAAAACATCCATCATGTACACCTATACCGAGCACCAGATGTCACTCACATCGCCAATGAATATTCACCGGACTCTTACGCAAGTGCGTCACTCGTACGCAAATTTACCAAACTCACATTATAATTTTATAATGCAGGGGTACGCGCCCCCTCGCTGGCGTGGGGAATTATAGTTGTATTAATGTTTGGTGTAGCAATAAAGAGCAGGTACTGTGATGGGTGGGAGGTGGTCGCGCTGCTCTGAGTTATGACCCTAATAAATCATCTCGCTCCTGTCCCAGCTCTAAAAGGGCAAAATCCCACGCGTATGAGGCATCATGTGCGCTGATTGGACCTCTCTCCCTCACCCTGGTAAAGCGCTGATTGGGTGATCCTACAGGTGATGTGTAGCGATTAGCCCCTCCCCGACCCTGGCAAGCACCGTATGATTGTAACATGTGAAGATTGGTCCTCCCCACCCTGGGAATTGCTGATTGATTACCCCCTGGAAAGCGCTGATTGGTGACTTTGTAAATGGGTCCAAGTCGGACCGAAACGTCGTCGTAAGTTCCTCTCTTCTATGTGCGGGTTATTTGTGTATCGTTCCAGTCACGGTATTGTGCCTTTTTTTTTTTATTTCTGGCAAGTATTGATTGGTTGATGGGTGTTCACCCTGACAAGTCCTGACTGGTTTTTCCAGGTGATGTGTAGAAATTGGCATCAAAGCCTCTTCCTTCCCCAACATACATACTACCCCTTCCTGTAAGCCTTCAGTGACTTATATCTACTTCGTGAAGTGCTGGTCTCTTCCTATAATGACATGATGCACCTTTCCAGCTGATGAACACGTTGTTTACGTGCCTCCATTGATGTGTATTGACTACAATACTGTGCCCAATGTGTTCCGTCACAAAGTACACATTTTGGAGTACGTTTATGTATGACAGTCTGTTTACTGTCTGTTGTATTCACAGCTTGATAAATGCCTATATGGGATTTCCCATTATGTGGTTTAGTGGGAGTAGGTATACTCTTTTTATACTGAGTTGAAGGTTTGTTATCCACTGGATTTGTGGATTTTTCGTCTTGTCTCGTTGTTTGCATGCATGAAATATTGTTTGTAAACCCAACTGTAATTTCTTCACAAGTGAAATAGCGTTTATTGAACATAATATTTAATCGTTCAATAGTTTGTGGTGACAACTTATCTTGTACAATACCACTGATAAACCAATCACATTGTCTTAGGTCATATTTAGCATCTAGAGATCTGAGACTATTGTCTAATGTAATTCTAAAGCCTGTAAGTCTGAAAAACAATGTTTGGGTGGTTTTCAAGCTTGATATTAAGACTGCATGTCTAAACTCTGGCCTTGTCAGCATCGAAGAAAATTGTCTGCTAAGACACGTAGGCTTTTTGAATAATTGCCTTTTTGACCACCGGAAATGACTTAATCAGTTCATAGGGTTCTCCCTTCACAAGACATTTAAGGTAATTGACTTAGCAATCTCATCTATGTCAGTTCGTGAATTTACTATGGATTGAAACCACTAATGAATTTTTTCATAATTATGACCTTTGAAATAGGTAATGACAATGTAGGTAAGCTTGGTAATGGGACACTTGTTGTTGTTACAGGTTGTAACAGGTGTTTGACCACTAGTAGTAGGTCTCTGTGACAGAGTTTGCGGCAGATAGCCTGTACTCCTGTCCACCTTAATTGTTGTCACTAAAAGTATCCAAAACATTTTTTAATTTCATCCTCAGATGGATCTGATTCAAGAAATTTATTTTCATAATGTGTATAGCTAAATTAAAATTATTTCCAGACGTCTTGTAAATAATTCAAATTTTGACCTCAAGATCATCAAAATCTATGTTTGTATCTTGAGTTAATCCTATACAGACTGAAATTAGATTTTCTAATTGTGTAATCTTAGTCTGTAAAGACTGAAACCTGAGTTTTCAAACAAGCCATTTTAATGGTATACTGAAAATTCTAGCACCCCCACTTAGAGTGTTTAAAAAACACTGTACTGCTATAGACAGCCGAGTTTTTGTTATGCTTAAGTCAGCAATAATCGAGTCAGACACTACTGACCTACTAACTTAACCTCAGGGTCAATGACCATGAAGGGTAACAGTACATGTGTCTGGTGTTTATGGCTTGTTTGCTGTGTCAGCCTGACCACGATGATTAATCGTAAATAACGATGTTTTTACACTTCATTCACTATACACTATAAAAAAGTCACTGTAAAACTGTAAAAATTTCCCATGAAAATTTCTTTTCACATATATAAATTTCACTGGGTTTAAAATATATTTGAAAGCTTACACTTTTTTATATAAGTTCCCCTTTTA